ACGAATGCGCATCAAGAAACGTGCACAAAAACACTCGCTACAAAATATACGCACATAAGTAAAAGTACAAAAGCATGCACAAAAGTACTCACGCAAAAGTGCATTCGCAAAAAGGATCACGAAAGCACAAACTACAATCCTAGGACATTAATACAAATCAACAAACATGCACGAACACACTCGCTCAAATGGACTTGCACAAACGTACATGTAAAAAAATATGCGCAAAAGTACATTCGCAACAACGTTCTTAAAAACAAGAAATACAACACTAGGACTTTAATACGCATAACCAAACAATAGCAAAAAAACTAAACACAAAAGATACAGTGGAGTGTAGAAATAACACTCAACGTTTACGTTTACGTGGATTTTTTTATGGATTAATTTATATTTCTGTTTTAATTGGTGGATTTAGTATCTTATAGGTACAAATTGATAATTAGTTGTCCATGAAGAAAAATGATCAAAGAGTAAGAAAAGAGTTGCAATTAGGAAAATAAAATCAAATTAGAAGAGAGGATCCCTCAACATCTTGGGTAGTGTCCACGAAGTCGAGCATAACTTTCTCATCCGGACTCCAAATCAACTGGTTCCGGCGGCATTAGAAAGCTATTTTAGCGCGCTACAATTCCTGTCTTATGTCAAAATTCCAAATTCGGACTCGGACATGGTCAAAATTGGATTCCAAAAGCGATCATGAAAATACGTGCTACAGTTCGAGGACACGAATGCGCATCAAGAAACGTGCACAAAAACACTTGCTACAAAATATACGCACATATGTAAAAGTACAAAAGCATGCACAAAAGTACTCACGCAAAAGTGCATTCGCAAAAAGGATCACGGAAACACAAACTACAATCCTAGGACATTAATACAAATCAACAAACATGCACAAACACACTCGCTCAAATGGACTTGCACAAACGTACATGTAAAAAAATATGCGCAAAAGTACATTCGCAACAACGTTCTTAAAAACACGAAATACAACACTAGGACTTTAATACGCATAACCAAAATTTTGCAAAAACACTAAATACAAAAGATACAGTGGAGTGTAGAAATAACACTCAACGTTTACGTTTACGTGGATTTTTTTATGGATTAATTTATATTTCTGTTTTAATTGGTGGATTTAGTATCTTATAGGTACAAATTGATAATTAGTTGTCCATGAAGCAAAAATGATCAAAGAGTAAGAAAAGAGTTGCAATTAGGAAAATAAAATCAAATTAGAAGAGAGGATCCCTCAACATCTTCAGTAGTGTCCACGAAGTCGAGCATAACTTTCTCATCCGGACTCCAAATCAACTGGTTCCGGCGGCATTAGAAAGCTATTTTAGCTGGCTACAATTCCTGTGTAATGTCATATTTCCAAATTCGGACTCGAACATGGTCAAAATTGGATTCCAAAAGCGATCATGAAAATACGTGCTACAGTTCGAGGAAACGAATGCGCATCAAGAAACGTGCACAAAAACACTCGCTACAAAATATACGGACATAAGTAAGAGTACAAAAGCATGCACAAAAGTACTCACGGAAAAGTGCATTCGCAAAAAGGATCACGAAAGCACAAACAACAATCCTAGGACATTAATACAAATCAACAAACATGCACAAACACACTCGCTCAAATGGACTTGCACAAACGTACATGTAAAAAAATATGCGCAAAAGTTCATTCGCAACAACGTTCTTAAAAACACGAAATACAACACTAGGACTTTAATACGCATAACCAAACAATAGCAAAAACACTAAACACAAAAGATACAGTGGAGTGTAGAAATAACACTCAACGTTTATGTTTACGTGGATTATTTATATTTTTGTTTTAATTGGTGGATTTAGTATCTTATAGGTACAAATTGATAATTAGGTGTCCATGAAGCAAAAATGATCAAAGAGTAAGAAAAGAGTTGCAATTAGGAAAATAAAATCAAATTAGAAGAGAGGATCCCTCAACATCTTCGGTAGTGTCCACGAAGTCGAGCATAAATTTCTCATCCGGACTCTAAATCAACTGGTTATGGCGGCATTAGAAAGCTATTTTAGCTGGCTACAATTCCTGTCTTAATGTCAAATTTCCAAATTCGGACTCGAACATGGTCAAAATTGGATTCCGAAAGCGATCATGAAAATACGTGCAACTGTTCGAGGACACGAATGTGCATCAAGAAACGTGCACAAAAACACTCGCTACAAAATATACGCACATAAGTAAAAGTACAAAAGCATGCACAAAGGTACTCACGGAAAAGTGCATTCGCAAAACGGATCACGAAAACACAAACTACAATCCTAGGACATTAATACAAATCAACAAACATGCACAAACACGCTCAAATGGACATGCACAAACGTACATGTAAAAAAATATGCGCAAAAGTACATTCGCAACAACGTTCTTAAAAACACGAAATACAACACTAGGACTTTAATAGGCATAACCAAACAATAGCAAAAACACTAAATACAAAAGATACAGTGGAGTGTAGAAATAACACTAAACGTTTACGTTTACGTTGATTTTTTTTATGGATTAATTTATATTTCTGTTTTAATTGGTGGATTTAGTGTCTTATAGGTACAAAATTATAATTATGTGTCCATGAAGCAAAAATGATCAAAGAGTAAGAAAAGAGTTGCAATTAGGAAAATAAAATCAAATTAGAAGAGAGGATCCCTCAACATATTCGGTAGTGTCCACGAAGTCGAGCATAACTTTCTCATCCGAACTCCAAATCAACTGGTTCTGGCGGCATTAGAAAGCTATTTTAGTGCGCTACAATTCCTGTCTAATGTCAAATTTCCAAATTCGGACTCGAACATGGTCAAAATTGGATTCCAAAAGCGATCATGAAAATACGTGCAACAGTTCGAGGACACGAATGCGCATCAAGAAACGTGCACAAAAACACTCGCTACAAAATATACGCACATAAGTAAAAGTACAAAAGCATGCACAAAAGTAGTCACGTTAAAGTGCATTCGCAAAAAGGATCACGAAAACACAAACTACAATCCTAGGACATTAATATAAATCAACAAAATGCACAAACACACTCGCTCAAATGGACATGCACAAACGTACATGTAAAAGAACATGCGCAAAAGTGCATTCGCAACAACGTTCTTAAAAACACGAAATACAACACTAGGACTTTAATACGCATAACCAAACAATATCAAAAACACTAAATACGAAAGATATAGTGGAGTGTAGAAATAACACTCAACGTTTACGTTTACGTGGATTTTTTTATGGAATAATTTATATTTTTGTTTTAATTGGTGGATTTTGTATCTTATAGGTACAAAGTGATAATTAGGTGTCCATGAAGCATAAATGATCAAAGAGTAAGAAAAGAGTTGCAATTAGGAAAATAAAATCAAATTAGAAGAGAGGATCCCTCAACATCTGATGGAGGTCTAACCAACAGTTGGCAAGATGATCCTATCCAAGTCCCAACCGGACCAGTGACGAGGAGCCGAGCTAAGCAATTTAAGGAGAAGCTTGCTGCATTGATCCATAATGTCTTAACTAAGAAAGCTTCATTCAATGGTGATAAACAAGGGTGGATTATGCATATTCAAGTGGCGGAGTCACCCGACAAGTGTGGGAACCATCGGGGCTAAAGATCAGTCCAAGTTGAGCAAATAAGAGCAAGAATGATGAAGACCAAAGCTCACCCTACCTTAAATTCGTGGGTTCATCTCTAATCAGCTCATATTAGTGTGTTTATGGGCCTATTCTATTAAGGCCCTCTTTAATTTCGTGGCTCACTTGTTTAGAGCCTTTATTAAGTAGATTTAGGGTTTTATTTTCCTTTCTTGAAGACTATGTTTTGAGGGTTATATATATGCCTTCTTATTCATTGTGAAAGACAGCTTTTGATCATTAATTAAATTGTGAGATTATTCTCTCTAGTTCTTTAGAACTCTTCGAACATATCGGAGGATTCCGTACGTTCACCTGACTTATCAATCAATCTTCCACAATTGATTGTGGCGTCTTCACATACCAAGGTTCTTGTCTCTTTATAGACAACGGGTCGCGGTTCCACCCCCTTTTGATTCCTTCTTTTGGACGGTCCAGCAGTTGATAACCGAAGTATTGTTATCGGGTCTCGTCACATGGTTGGCGTGGTTCATATCATTTGGTAATCAGAGCCATCTTCCAAGAAGGTTTCGTCTATCCTTTGAGTCTTTTGTTGTTTTTGTTTCGTTTCTTTCCGTATTCCATATCTTTCTTCCTTCTAGTGTCATCTCTTCTTCTTTTGTTTTGTTTCCGTCATCACATCTGTTCTTGAGTCATTAAATTCGTCCAGTATCTTGTTCGTCTTGAGTCTATTGTCAAAAAAAAAAAAAAAAAAAAAGAAAAAAAAAAAAAAAAAAAAAAAAAAAATCTGAAAAAAAAAATCCGAAAAAAAAAAGAAAAAAAAAAAAGGAAAAGAAGCAAAATTCGAAATTATTTGAAAGGAATAAATTCCTTGTTGGTATTATAAGTAGTTGGAAAGGATCCGAATACTGCATCTTAAGTTAGGAAAGGTATATTTTGTTTCCTATCCTCGGGATCCTTGAATATCTTGTCTTCTACTCCATATCTACTTCCTTCCTACACTCTTTTGTTTCCTATAATATTAATTTCGAAATTCAAACAAAATAAATTACTCGTGACTATCCAAAGGTCATTAAATTCTGCTCATATTCTATTTCGATTCAAGTTCATCGTTCATCTTCTCTATCAATTCCTGATAATTCGTGGTGAACTGTTGCTGAAAATTCTGATATTTGTTTGGTGAGTTTGATTGGGACTATTGAGAATTTGAGAGGAAAAAGGCAAGAGTGGTGAGTTCATAAGAGGGTAAAAGCCAAAATTGATTGTGTGCAAACACGAGTGAACTTGAGCGATATCCATTTATTGAGTGAAACACGTAAGGGAGTGTGTGAGGTCCATATTTTCTTTCTAACATTGTTTTGCAGGAATCATGTCTAACAATCAAACAAATTTGGAAGACACACATAGGGAGGTTGATCCAAAGTTTATGATGGAGGCGTTGATGAGTGAGATGAAGAGATTCGTGAGGGAAGAGATGGAGCAGATTCATGAGCGGATGGATCAAATGGAGAATTCACGGCAAGAGATTCCCCAAACCATTCCTAACATGCAAAGGAGAGGACAAGCTCCACCTAGAGAGGCTAGGGCAGAAGAGGATGAGTATTACAGTGATGACTTCGATGACCAACATTCCGTTGCTGTAAATCGAAGGTTTGGAGCAAGGGTTCGTGATGCTCGAAACCGCGAGGATAACAATTTGGGAAACATAAAGGTGAATATACCATCGTTTCACGGCAGAAACGATCCTGAAGCTTACATTGAGTGGGAGCGAAAGATGGAGCTGTTGTTTGATTGTCACAATTACTCGGAACACAAGAAGGTGAAGTTGGCAGCGATTGAATTCTCCGATTATGCCATCATTTGGTGGGATCAATTGGTGCTGAATAGGAGGAGAAATAGGGAGAATCCAGTGGCAACCTGGGACGAGATGAAATCCCTAATGAGAAAGCGGTTCGTGCCAAGCTACTACTTCCGGGAGTTGTATCAAAAGCTACAGAATTTGAAGCAAGGAAATCGGAGTGTTGAAGAGTACTTTAAGGAGATGGAAATTTCAATGATCCGAGTAAATATTGAGGAGGATCGGGAGGCTACTATGGCAAGGTTCTTGGCAGGGCTGAATAGAGAGATTGCTAACGTCGTGGAGTTGCAACATTATGTTGAGATGGAGGACATGGTACACATGGCCATCAAGATTGAGAATCAGCTCAAGCGGCGGGGTAACAATCCACGACCAGCCCCTAGTTCGAGTTCATCTTGGAGGCATAATGGTGTTAGCAAAGATGAGAAGCCAGCTATGATTAAACCCAAATTCGAGCCAAAGCAAAACACTACCAGCCATGCAGCCCAAGGTAAAATCGATTCTAATACAACTCGGAATCGTGATATAGAGTGTTTTAAATGCCATGGCAGGGGTCACAAAGCAAACCAATGTCCAAACAAGAGAGTTATGCTGCTGCGTGATGATGGTGGGTTTGAGACTGAAGAAGAGGAGGATTCCACACCACCACAAGAGGATGATGGAGAAGAAGAATATGCAGCACATGGTGAACTTTTGGTTGCAAGGAGAGCTCTAAACGTGCAAGCAAAGGGAGATGAAGAAGCACAGCGAGAAAACATCTTCTACACTAGATGTCATGTTCGAGACAACGTGTGTAGTATGATCATTGATGGAGGGAGTTGCACCAATGTTGCTAGCACTACGATGGTGGAGAAGTTAGGGCTGCCTACAACCAAACATCCACAACCATATAAGCTGCAATGGCTTAATGATAGTGGAGAATTGAGGGTGAACAAGCAAGTGTTAGTATCATTTCGCATTGGGAGGTACGAAGATGAGGTACTGTGTGATGTTGTTCCGATGCAAGCTGGACACTTGTTACTTGGCCGACCGTGGCAATCTGATCGACGGGCCAAGCATGATGGTTTCACCAACAAGTACTCATTTGCGTTCAACCAAAGAACAATCACTCTAGTTCCTTTAACGCCACAGCAGGTCCATGAGGATCAAGTGAGGTTACAAAAAGAGAGTGATCAAAAGAAAATGAGTGAGAGTGCAAAAGAAAGAGAGAGTCAGGCTGAGAAAAACAAGAGAGAAAATAAAAAAGAGAGTTTGGCCAATGAGAGAAAAGAAGAGGGAAAAACAAGTTTATATGCGAGGGCGAGTGATGTGAAGTGAGCTATGCGTTCGAATCAGCCGATGATTGTACTTATGTACAAGGAGGCCTTTTTGAACACTAACAACGTTAACTCTTCTTTGCCTAGTTCCGTTGTTTCTCTTTTGCAGGACTTTGATGATGTATTCCCAGAGGAGCTACCACCGGGGTTGCCACCAATTCGAGGCATTGAACATCAAATTGACTTTGTGCCAGGAGCTTCTATTCCAAACCGACCAGCCTACCGAAGCAATCCCGAGGAGACTAAGGAGATACAAAGGCAGGTCACGGAGTTGATGGAAAGAGGGCACGTGAGGGAGAGCATGAGTCCGTGTGCTGTTCCGGTACTTTTGGTGCCTAAAGCGGATGGAAAGTGGAGAATGTGTGTCGATTGTCGAGCAATCAACAATATAACGGTAAAGTATCGTCATCCTATTCCACGCTTAGATGATATGTTAGAGGAATTGCATGGTGCTTGTGTGTTTTCAAAAATCGATTTGAAAAGTGGGTATCATCAAATAAGAATGAGAGAGGGTGATGAATGGAAAACTGCTTTCAAAACAAAGTATGGTTTATATGAGTGGTTAGTTATGCCGTTTGGGTTAACTAATGCCCCTAGTACTTTCATGCGATTAATGAACCATGTTTTGCGATCTTTCATTGGTAAATTTGTTGTAGTTTACTTTGATGACATTCTTATCTATAGCAAAAATCTGGATGATCATGTTGTGCATTTGAAATCCGTTTTACATGCGCTTAGGGAAGAGAAGTTGTATGCTAATTTCCAGAAATGTACATTTTGCACGGATAAGCTTGTCTTTCTTGGTTTTGTTGTGAGTGCACAAGGTATTCAGGTTGATGAAGAAAAGGTTCGAGCTATCCAAGAATGGCCAAGTCCGACGAGTGTAGCGAATGTTCGAAGTTTTCATGGCCTTGCTGGTTTCTATAGGAGGTTCGTGAAGGATTTTAGCACAATTGCAGCACCCCTGACCGAGGTGATAAGGAAGAATGTGGTGTTCAAGTGGGGGGACGAGCAAGAGAAAGCATTTCAATTAATTAAGGAGAAGTTAACCAAAGCTCCTTTACTTGCTCTACCAAATTTCGCGAAAACATTCGAGATCGAGTGCGATGCTTCCGGAGTAGGCATAGGCGCTGTTTTGATGCAAGAGGGACGGCCGATTGCATATTTTAGTGAGAAGTTGAGTGGGGCAGCCTTAAACTACCCGACTTATGATAAAGAGCTGTATGCCTTGGTTCGAGCATTAGAGACATGGCAGCATTATCTTTGGCCTAAGGAGTTTGTGATTCACACAGATCATGAATCGTTGAAGCACTTGAAGGGACAACACAAGCTGAACAAGAGGCATGCCCGATGGATGGAATTCATTGAGACATTTCCTTATGTCATCAAATACAAGCAAGGTAAAGAGAACATTGTAGCTGATGCACTGTCTCGAAGGTACACCTTAATCTCTACTCTTAATGTAAAATTACTTGGTTTTGAACAAATTAAGGAGTTGTACATTAAAGATTCTGATTTTGGTACTGTTTATCAAGCATGTGAAAAGGGTGCATTTGATAAGTTCTATAGGCATGAGGGATTCTTGTTTAGGGAAGATAAACTTTGCATTCCTATGTGTTCTATACGTGAATTACTTGTGCTTGAATCGCATGGGGGAGGTCTTATGGGTCACTTTGGTTTCGAAAAGACATTACACATGCTGAAAGAACACTTTTATTGGCCACACATGAAGAGAGATGTTGAGAGAATTTGTGGTAGATGTGTTACACGTGCACAAAAATACTCGCTACAAAATATACGCACATATGTAAAAGAACAAAAGCATGCACAAAAGTACTCACGCAAAAGTGCATTCGCAAAAAGCATCACGAAAGCACAAACTACAATCCTAGGACATTAATACAAATCAACAAACATGCACAAACACACTCGCTCAAATGGACATGCACGAACGTACATGTAAAAAAACATGCGCAAAATTGCGTTCGCAACAACGTTCTTAAAAACACGAAATACAACACTAGGACTTTAATACGCATTACCAAACAATATCAAAAACACTAAATACGAAAGATACAGTGGAGTGTAGAAATAACACTCAACGTTTACGTTTACGTGGATTATTTATATTTTTGTTTTAATTGGTGGATTTAGTATCTTATAGGTACAAATTGATAATTAGGTGTCCATGAAGCAAAAATGATCAAAGAGTAAGAAAAGAGTTGCAATTAGGAAAATAAAATCAAATTAGAAGAGAGGATCCCTCAACATCTTCGGTAGTGTCCACGAAGTCGAGCATAAATTTCTCATCCGGACTCTAAATCAACTGGTTATGGCGGCATTAAAAAGCTATTTTAGCTGGCTACAATTCCTGTCTTAATGTCAAATTTCCAAATTCGGACTCGAACATGGTCAAAATTGGATTCCAAAAGCGATCATGAAAATACGTGCAACAGTTCGAGGACACGAATGCGCATCAAGAAACGTGCACAAAAACACTCGCTACAAAATATACGCACATAAGTAAAAGTACAAAAGCATGCACAAAGGTACTCACGGAAAAGTGCATTCGCAAAACGGATCACGAAAAGACAAACTACAATCCTAGGACATTAATACAAATCAACAAACATGCACAAACACGCTCAAATGGACATGCACAAACGTACATGTAAAAAAATATGCGCAAAAGTACATTCGCAACAACGTTCTTAAAAACACGAAATACAACACTAGGACTTTAATACGCATAACCAAACAATAGCAAAAACACTAAATACAAAAGATACAGTGGAGTGTAGAAATAACACTAAACGTTTACGTTAACGTTGATTTTTTTATGGATTAATTTATATTTCTGTTTTAATTGGTGGATTTAGTTTCTTATAGGTACAAATTGATAATTATGTGTCCATGAAGCAAAAATGATCAAAGAGTAAGAAAAGAGTTGCAATTAGGAAAATAAAATCAAATTAGAAGAGAGGATCCCTCAACATCTTCGGTAGTGTCCACGAAGTCGAGCATAACTTTCTCATCCGGACTCCAAATCAACTGGTTCTGGCGGCATTAGAAAGCTATTTTAGTGCGCTACAATTCCTGTCTAATGTCAAATTTCCAAATTCGGACTCGAACATGGTCAAAATTGGATTCCAAAAGCGATCATGAAAATACGTGCAACAGTTCGAGGACACGAATTCGCATCAAGAAACGTGCACAAAAACACTCGCTACAAAATATACGCACATAAGTAAAAGTACAAAAGCATGCACAAAAGTAGTCACGGAAAAGTGCATTCGCAAAAAGGATCACGAAAACACAAACTACAATCCTAGGACATTAATACAAATCAACAAACATGCACAAACACACTCGCTCAAATGGACATGCACAAACGTACATGTAAAAGAACATGCGCAAAAGTGCATTCGCAACAACGTTCTTAAAAACACGAAATACAACACTAGGACTTTAATACGCATAACCAAACAATATCAAAAACACTAAATACGAAAGATATAGTGGAGTGTAGAAATAACACTCAACGTTTACGTTTACGTGGATTTTTTTATGGAATAATTTATATTTTTGTTTTAATTGGTGGATTTTGTATCTTATAGGTACAAAGTGATAATTAGGTGTCCATGAAGCATAAATGATCAAAGAGTAAGAAAAGAGTTGCAATTAGGAAAATAAAATCAAATTAGAAGAGAGGATCCCTCAACATCTTCGGTAGTGTCCACGAAGTCGAGCATAACTTTCTCATCCGGACTCTAAATCAACTGGTTACGGCGGCATTAGAAAGCTATTTTAGCTGGCTACAATTCCTGTCTTAATGTCAAATTTCCAAATTCGGACTCGAACATGGTCAAAATTGAATTCCAAAAGCGATCATGAAAATACGTGCAACAGTTCGAGGACACGAATGCGCATCAAGAAACGTGCACAAAAAACTCGCTACAAAATATGCGCACATAAGTAAAAGTACAAAAGCATGCACAAAAGTACTCAAGGAAAAGTGCATTCGCAAAAAAGGATCACGAAAACACAAACTACAATCCTAGGACATTAATACAAATCAACAAACATGCACCAACACACTAGCTCAAATGGATATGCACAAACGTACATGTAAAAATACATGCGCAAAAGTGCATTCGCAACAACGTTCTTAAAAACACGAAATACAACACTAGGACTTTAATAAGCATAACCAAACAATATCAAAAACACTAAATACAAAAGATACAGTGGAGTGTAGAAATAACACTAAACGTTTACGTTTACGTGGATGTTTTTATGGATTAATTTTTATTTATGTTTACGTCCACGAAGTCGAGCATAACTTTCTCATCCGGACTCCAAATCAACTGGTTTCGGCGGCATTAGAAAGCTATTTTAGCTGGCTACAAATCCTGTCTCATGTTATACTTCCAAATTTGGACTCGAACATGGTCAAAATTGGATTCCAAAAGCGATCATGAAAATACGTGCTACAGTTCGAGGAAACGAATGTGCATCAAGAAACGTGCACAAAAATACTCGCTACAAAATATACGCACATATGTAAAAGTACAAAAGCATGCACAAAAGTACTCACGCAAAAGTGCATTCGCAAAAAGCATCACGAAAGCACAAACTACAATCCTAGGACATTAATACAAATCAACAAACATGCACAAACACACTCGCTCAAATGGACATGCACAAACGTACATGTAAAAAAATATGCGCAAAAGTACATTCGCAACAACGTTCTTAAAAACACGAAATACAACACTGGATCTTTAATACGCATAACCAAACAATAGCAAAAACACTAAACACAAAAGATACAGTGGAGTGTAGAAATAACACTATTGGTTTACGTTTACGTGGATTTTTTTATGGATTAATTTATATTTCTGTTTTAATTGGTGGATTTAGTATCTTATAGGTACAAATTGATAATTAGTTGTCCATGAAGCAAAAAGGATCAAAGAGTAAGAAAAGAGTTGCAATTAGGAAAATAAAATCAAATTAGAAGAGAGGATCACTCAACATCTTCGGTAGTGTCCACGAAGTCGAGCATAACTCTCTCATCCGGACTCCAAATCAACTGGTTCCAGCGGCATAAGAAAGCTATTTTAGCTGGCTACAATTCCAGTCTAATGTCATATTTCCAAATTCGGACTCGGACATGGTCAAAATTGGATTCCAAAAGCGATCATGAAAATACGTGCTACAGTTCGAGGACACGAATGCGCATCAAGAAACGTGCACAAAAACACTCGCTACAAAATATACGGACATAAGTAAAAGTGCAAAAGCATGCACAAAAGTACTCACGCAAAAGTGCATTCGCAAAAAGGATCACGAAAGCACAAACTACAATCCTAGGACATTAATACAAATCAACAAACATGCACAAACACACTCGCTCAAATGGACTTGCACAAACGTACATGTAAAAAAATATGCGCAAAAGTACATTCGCAACAACGTTCTTAAAAACACGAAATACAACACTAGGACTTTAATACGCATAACCAAACAATAGCGAAAACAACAAACACAAAAGATACAATGGAGTGTAGAAATAACACTCAACGTTTATGTTTACGTGGATTTTTTAATGGATTAATTTATATTTCTGGTTTAATTGGTGGATTTAGTATCTTATAGGTACAAATTGATAATTAGTTGTCCATGAAGCAAAAATGATCCAAGAGTAAGAAAAGAGTTGCAATTAGGAAAATAAAATCAAATTAGAAGAGAGGATCCCTCAACATCTTCGGTAGTGTCCACGAAGTCGAGCATAACTTTCTCATCCGGACTCCAAATCAACTGGTTCCGGCGGCATTAGAAAGCTATTTTAGCTGGCTACAATTCCTGTCTAATGTCAAATTTCCGAATTCGGACTCGGACATGGTCAAAATAGGATTCCTAAAGCGATCATGAAAATACTTGCCACAGTTCGAGGAAACGAATGCGCATCAAGAAACGTGCACAAAAACACTCGCTACAAAATATACGCACATAAGTAAAAGTACAAAAGCATGCACAAAAGTACTCACGCAAAAGTGCATTCGCAAAAAGGATCACGAAAACACAAACTGCAATCCTAGGACATTAATACAAATCAACAAACATGCACAAACACACTCGGTCAAATGGACATGCACAAACGTACATGTAAAAAAATATGCGCAAAAGTACATTCGCAACAATGTTCTTAAAAACACGAAATACAACACTAGGACTTTAATACGCGTAACCAAACAATAGCAAAAACACTAAATACAAAAGATACAGTGGAGTGTAGAAATAACACTAAACGTTTACGTTTACGTGGATTTTTTTATGGATTAATTTATATTTTTGTTTTAATTGGTGGATTTAGTATCGTATAGGTACAAATTGATAATTATGTGTCCATGAAGCAAAAATGATCAAAGAGTAAGAAAAGAGTTGCAATTAGGAAAATAAAATCAAATTAGAAGAGAGGATCCCTCAACATCTTCGGTAGTGTCCACGAAGTCGAGCATAACTTTCTCATCCGGACTCCAAATCAACTGGTTCCGGCGGCATTAGAAAGCTATTTTAGTGCGCTACAATTCCTGTCTAATGTCAAATTTCCAAATTCGGACTCGAACATGGTCAAAATTTGATTCCAAAAGCG